AATTAATTTTTTTCTGGATTTGCTAATAGCGAATTCAGTAGCTTTATTGGAACATTCTGAGCTTTAGAGAAGTTCGTTTTCTTTGTTTAATATAATACATAATACATTTAAACGACTTGATGYTGTTGCCTGTTGTAGACATCAAACAGTTTTTTATGCATTTGATAGTAGAAAAAGAATGCTACCTGAACAATAAAGTAAGTTCAGTGAACAAGTATTAGGAAAATTATATCATTGTAATCATTTGTTTTTATAAAAGATTTGAAATGATGAATCAATCGACACTTCAGTAAAAAGTAGGTACCTATACGTTTAAAATTGTTACATTCATCMTATAATATTTTGTCGCATTAAAAGCAAAATGGCTTGCAATATTTTTACAACCTCTCCRAGCAATATTATAGCCGTAATTTTTTACGATTCGTATAAACTCTTTTCTAATTTTTAAACGTGAAGTCAAACTCTCTATTATAACAAAAAAATAATTCCTTTGATAATGCATCTTACATTTTTACCACTCATGATTTCACCGTATTCGTCATCAGGTATAATATCTAATAACAAACAATAAGAAATAGATTAATATAATATTATAAGAGCACKCTGGACAAATTTGTTGTTTTCAAACCATCAATTTAACGAGGCCGCCGACTGCGGCAGACTTCGAACAATATTTCTGAACATTCTAAAATTCAATAAATTGCAGCGCCCCTTATAAAACTTAAAATTATGGTACTTGTGAATCCAGGCCTGCTTGGCCTATTCGTTAATACGCCCTTGGTGATCGACAAGATAATTGCAATTGACAAATTAATCTGTCTTGTAAATACTGTTTCCTGTTTTTACGGAAATACGGAAATCGATAAACTAATCAGTAATAGTACGTGTACAAGTATCGATGTAATTAATTAATGATCTAGGCATGCTATTGAGAAAATTCGAGTAGACTACATATATATAATATATCGTTTGGACTTGGGGTATAGATACCTTCTAGAGTTTAAAAAAGGTTACTTAACTATGTTTGGGAGACAATTTGAGAGTCACTGAATGAAAGTAATCTCACGCAGCATAAGATATAAAACATTAAATATTTGAAGATATAGATATTAGTCCAG